AAGGTGGGAGCAGCGGGGCGGACCGGGCCGGGCCGGGCCGGGCCGGGCCGGGCGGAACGGAGCTCACTGACGGTGCCTGTGCTCGCAGCTGCTGGCGGAGGAGAACGTGCGCGGCGTGGTCACCCTCACCGAGGACTACGAGACCCGGTTCCTCTGTTTTTCCCCCCAGGTGAGTCCCGGGCTTGCTGGTCGTCGTCCCCCCCTCCACGTGTCTCTCGCCGCTGTTTGTCCCGGCACAGGTGAGGCTTTAGCCGCCTCCTGCCGTCATCCCGGCAGCCACCGCCACGTCCTGTGGCAGCAGAGACGGGACTACTCGTACCTAAGCAGACTCCAAAAACTATGCGACAAACCACTAAAACGTGAGCATGCCAGTGAACTGCCGCTGCAGTGGCAGGGAAAAACAGGGAGAATGTAACTCACGTACAGCACTATACAGGAATGCCCCTGGTTGGGAAGAGATCCCAGCCTCCCTCTTTTCCTTTGGCTTTCTATGTTTAGAAACATATTTTTTCAGTCCCCTTTAATTGCTACCTTCTGATGACGAGCACTGAAGTTTCCATACATCTGATTTGAAGAATTGACGTTCAAAGCCTGTTTCAAGCCTCTCTGAATTTCTCGACTGTCTCAACAGGTTCTGAGTTTCTTTCAGTTAAAAAAAAAAGCAACCCAAAAGTTCACTCACCAAATGTGCAATGTCTGTTACAGGAATGGGAGGCAATGGGAGTGGAGCAACTGCGTCTCAGCACTGTAGATCTAACTGGAGTCCCCACCTTGGAAAACCTGCACAAGGGCGTGGAGTTCATCCTGAGACACCGAGCCCGCGGTAACAGCGTCTATGTGCACTGCAAGGCAGGGCGCTCCCGCAGTGCCACCATGGTGGCAGCATACTTAATTCAGGTCAGGCGTCTCTGCTAAACGGGGTTAATTTTCATTTAAAAATGGAAATAAAATGCAGACAACCTTTATAGTTAACTCTCGCTCAGGAAACCCGAGCATGTACACGTTAATATTCCATGATTTTACAGAGCTTGGACACTCATTTTAATAGACGCCTCAAATGTACCTTGTTGTTTTGAATGCAAATGCAGATTTTGAATGATGCTCCTTTTCTTAATTCTTTCTGTGAAGGAACAGATTGAGGTGGGAGTAACAAGTCACTCATGAGCATAGGTTCACTGAGCAAATAAATATCCATTTTTTTTTTGTTTGTATTTTCTCCTTGGTTCACTGGAGTTGTGAGCTTTCCTACACTTTTCCATAAATACAACTCAGGATCAAGAGGACTGATTTGTTTTCTGAGTTCCTCTATCAGCCCAACTGGGGAAGCCAGCATTAAGAATAAAATCCCACCTGTGGATTCTTTCCTTGGTGTTACTAAGTGCTCCCTGGAATTTCTAGTCCCTGGAAAATTTTCCATTAGTGTTGAGAATTTTTTTTTCTAAATTTTTCTAATTTTTCTTTTTTTTACTAAGTGCTGAAATGTAATGGGAGTACCAGTAGAGTTTTCTAAAAAAAAAATTAAGAAGCAAGGTGTGCTTTGGCTCTGGTCTAGTGGAGGGGGCTAGGACAGGAAACTATTCACAACATGAAGGAAGAGTGAGCGAGAAAATGGAGCGCCCAGGCAGCAACCATTCCTCTTTAACTGAGGGACTCACTTCATGAATGTGTGACTTGCAGGCCTCTCTGAGAAGAACATCAAGTAAACCTAAAGGGCAAAGCAGCAGCAAGCTTTCTAACATCTCTAATATTGCCTGTATCCTCCAGGAGGGTTCCATTAACTGGTGCAAAGATGGAATGGATTTTCATTTGCTGTGTTTCTGCCTTTTCAGCTGCATCACTGGAGCCCTCAGGAAGCAATAGAGGCCATTACCAAGATTCGTCCCCATATCCTCATTCGACACAAGCAAGTACAGGTCCTGGAGAAATTTCACAGGAACATGATCAATGAGAGAACTGCATAACTTAGTAAGAACTATCAAAATCCTCATCTCAGCTGCTATAAAAGAAGTTTTTATGATCTAACAAAAGCTTAAGCATTTTCATTCTTAACCAATGAAATTATTTCATCAATAAAGGGGGAATAGGGCTGTTTCATTAAAGCTTTCTTTCCTTATGGCTACTATTCTAGATCTCACAGAGCCCCATAGTTCTTTTCCACACATCAGTGCTGAGTGGAACTGCAATCCACAAGAAGTTCAAAAATATTTGTATTTGAAGCAAAGAGAAAAAAACAAAATACTTTGTCTCAGTAGAGACTTTATTCAGATTCTTACCCAAAGGGTTACAGTGCCAACAGAGAGGGGAAGGAAGAAGTGGTCTTATTTCTGTCTTTTCACCAACACTATATTATAATTACAGGTGGGGATTTCCTGTACAGTAAAGGAAGCCAATGCTCTGAAAATGATCTCCCTCTTTATACTAGGTGATGACAGAGCAGTAAGCAAGTACTCAGTTGGTTACCACTCCTCTAGGAGAAGTGCTGAATGTAACCTAAGGGTCCTGGGGTCAGTTCTGGAATCTGTCTGCCAGGCCCTTCTTCTGCAATAGGACACAGGAATGTTTAAATGGGGGTATCCCTGGGGGACACAGTGCACGTCTAACTCTGTGACTGACACAGCAGCAACACGCAGTCTCCTAGGCAGTTAAAACTAGCAGTCTGGCCCAAGGAGAATGTTCTCCATATGCCACAGGATCTTTTAGTAATGGATTGGTTCCAGGATAAAATAGCCATTTGCTGCCGCTTGGGCCTCAAACGCTTATCATCAAGGAATCAAAATAATAGTATTTAGTCCATCTGAAATCTAAGATACAACAGTTTAATATGTTTTTGATAGTGCTATGTAAAAGAATAGGCCCACAGTCAGAAAGCCTGTACTTCCTCTGCACAGGTAGAGGATGGGGTCTTTACTGGATGTTGTGAGCTTGTTGTAGTTGGGACTGGTGCTGAGGGTCATAGGTGTCTTTGAGCTGCACAGCAAGACACTGTTGCTGTCTTTCTATCACCGGGCCTGTTTAGGCCAGGACAAACTGCAGGTTAGTGAGCAGCACTTTGATGCCACTTGTGACTGTTACAACAGAGGTGGCTGGGTTAAGTTTAAAAGTATTTGCATCGCCCTTTTTATAGCGGTCACGAAAGACATAGATGCTGCCATTGCAGCTGGCAATTTTCCAGAGGGATGGTACTGAGCTCCAGGCATCTGGGAGGCATAGCCGGGTGAAGCTATCCAGCAGGGGATTGTAGCAGAGCAGTGAATCCCCCTCGGCCACAATGAACACCACATCCTTGTGCACAGCAGCGTGCATGCGCCCTGCGAAAGGCAGTACGTATGGCTTCACGTGGCATTTCTCTGTGTTGGTATCATAGCACTGAATGAGCCGAGAGGGCTTGGTGAAGAAGTCTAAGTCGTTTTCCTCCCCACCCAGCAGGTAAATGACACCATTAAGGTTCACCCCTGCAGCTCCAGAGACTGCCACTTCCAACTGGCTGGTCTCTGTCCAGACGTTGTCTCGTACTCTGTAATATATGACAGCATTAGAGAGAGTGTCCTGAAGAGTTTTCCCCCCCAGTGAATATATTGCATCCTTGCTCGGCACGGAGACCAGGGTGTGCTGGAGCCGGTCACGGGGCAGAGGAGCACACCATTCCCAATCTATAGTTGCATTGTTGCATTTCCACATCCGTCGTGGGATGGAGCCACCAACGACATACAGGTCACTACCGTGCTTGCAGGCTGCGGTGATCTGGTGACACAGGCTGTTCTGGCCACTCACACTGATGGAGTCATCGTCAGCACAGTGCAGAGAGACAGCGAGGGAATGTGTACGTGATGACTCCTTTCCAATCAGGTAGATGTGAACATTTTCTCCAATCACCTGAGTGAAAGCAGAAGTGTGTCAGCAGAATTGGTTCTGTTTAGCAACAAACATCAGTGATGCTCAAGACTGATTTTTTCAGTTTAGGACCCACCTGTGGGCCTGAGGTGTATATACCCTCCTTCCCAAATCCTGCCACCCTAACACATTCAGGATTCAGAGCCTCAAGGCCTTTTCAAGATACCATGTATATCTGACACAGTAGAATAGCCACAGATGTCACTACAACACAAGTTTTCCTGGTTTAGGTAAGGGCCAGTTACATCACTGATGGAGTACAGTTGTTACAAGGGGAATACCAAACATCGATTTCTGACCAGTTTATTTGGTAACTGAGGTGAAATAAGTTATTTGTGGCACTTCTCTAATCACCAGTGAAAGCAGCCTCAGGTTAAATGAAAAAAGCTGTCAGTGGGGTTGATATTTATGATACTGAAAGTATCCTCTCACAAGCACCATGAATTTCAATGACATCTGTGTTTTGTGACTTTCAAGTCACATCTGTGAGCAGAATACCCTGCCCTGAGAAGTTCTGTATGTTCTGTAGCAAGTGCTACATCAGCCCCAGAACATAAGGTCTTTTTATACCTTCAGACTCGATCGCAGAGTCTCTGAAAAGCCCGCTCGCTCCTCCTTGTTGAAGTTGATCCAGGTTTCTATGGCAACTGTTGGATTCTGAGAAGATGGAACGCCATCTGCGGTTCAGGGACAGAAAGGCATTTATGATATCTAGACAAAGGTGTATGTACTCGGGAACACCCTTTTCCTGTGGCTGCCTCCCCCCACTCCCACCACAAACTCTCCTTTCTGGAGAGGAAAAATAGACACAGATGTTTATAGATTTTGTCAGGCATGATCAGCACTGCCAGCCAGCCAACTACATGAAATTAATTTGAGGAACTGTAAGAAGACAGAGCTGCCAGATCTTAAGCACTTTGGATGAGTTTCAGCAATCTATTCAGGAATTTATGCCCAAGAGAAAGAGGACATGAAAGAGAAGTTACACGCTGTGTGACAATGACAAATACTTTCTTATTTAATCATTTAGGCAAAAAATATTTTGTTATTGAGAATGTCAGCACCTGCCTTTCTTTCTGGCTGGTCCTAGAAACCTGCCTAGTGAAAGTCATCTACAAAATGTGTCTGAGCACTATCAGGCAGCTGACCCTCATGACTGAGCATCTGGTGTTGCTGCTATCCTCTTAACATTTGGAAATCCCCAATGAGCTATTAGAGCTTTTCTTAGCCATGTGACAGTAGGAAACACTCCACAGACTGCATCAGATTTAAATCTCCTTCCAAACATAACTGGAAGTTTTCATTAAGCCACAAAGTCTTGCATCATCATCATCATCATCAGTACATTACCTAAAAAGATTTTAGGTATTTCCTTCCAGTTTGAAAGCCAGCAATTATGCCTGTGTTCATTGAGAAGCTTCCCTATGAAGACTCTGATTTTGTAGTCTGTTCTCATGACAAACTCTGAATTCAATGATGCTGAAGGCACCAGAGAAATTCCAACGCTTTTCTCTATAGTGGAAGGGAGCAGAACAAGTGTGGCACAAAAGCAGGTATTTCAGCTCTGTTTAAAAGGATTCTCATAAGCTAACCATCACATGTAGTGCGTAAATGGAAAAAAATTGGTTTTGAAATTGGTCCTAGAGTGCAACATAATGTAAACTTAATAAATTTCTATTTCATAAAATTAATTATAATCCTTGTCACTAAAAGCTTCCTCTATTTAATTCTCCATTAACTAAACGAAGATGGAGGAAAGGCAAAATAAAAGGATTTTTCCTACAAGAAGTAGGGAAGTATTTCAGACTTTAATCCATTTTTGAGCTAAGTTGTGGCATAAATGCTGAGTAATGTGATTCTACACATGAAAATAGATGATGTATGGAAAAAAGTTATACTGAGCAATTGTTTTAATTTAGGACCACAAGAGCTAAAGTCCATAGTCCTAAAACTGTTTTTTGTGTGGAATCCCTAGGAAATTAAAGGTGATTGATCTCTACAGTTTCATTTCATGATTTTAGAGTTTTTTTTAAAATGAACTTGCAACTTACTAAAAAAACTTTAGCTAGATAGTGATCAAACTACTCTAAATTTATCACAGTTCTTGAGCTATCAGTACATACACTCAATAGGTCCTTGACTGTAAATTTCTTTAGATGCAATAGAGATAACTGAATACAATATGTAAAGACTCTCATATGGATAGCATCAACTCTAAAGGCTAGTTCAGGTCTTATAGATAGATTTGCCAGTGTTTCAAAGAAGCCAGTCATGATAGGTTTATTTTTGCAACTGCATATAAAACACATGACACACAAAGTCTAGTTACTTACTCAGTTACAAAGAGTAATTAAAAGCAAGAAAAGATGCACATTTGGATGTATGAGCTGCTTCTACATTCTTCCTCTAGCAATGATACATAACAGCAGAAGAATGAACTTGTGACTGCAGCATCCTGGAGAGGTAACAAGTACTGACTGTACCTACTAGGGCAGCAGATCTTTAAGGATTGGTGGAAGCTGGACTAAGTTGTCTATGTGTTGACATGTCCTTCACAACTCTGAGTCATGGCATCCATAACTGTGGAAGACTATTACCTTTACAAGAAGGGCAATTACTGTATTACTCAAGATCTTACAATGCCTCTATTTCAGTCAGTTGAGTGCCTAAGTAATCCTAACAATTACATACAATTGTAAATAACACTAAAATAGTCTAAAAATATGTGCTCAAGCCTTCTTACAGAGGTTGAGTTATTGCATTACTATGTTAAATGATTATGAGATAAAGGGATAAAAAAGTCTTTCATCAGGTATGTAGTTCTAGTAAGGCTTCTTTGTTTTACTTTTAATGCAAACAAAAATACAAAAATTGTTGGCAGCTGTGTTTAAAAAACATGTAACACTTCTAACCTGTTGACTCAGGAACTGCTGTGAATTTCTGGCATCCTATTATATAAGTCTATTCTGTAAGTCCCTATTCTATAGCTTAGATGTTTCACATCCAGTAACAAAAATAGTTTGGGACTTTTTCTGATAAAGGTATCCAGAATGTTTTGCTCTGCCTTGCTTAGCTAAGTCACTGAATAGACAGTGACTGTGAAAGTTTATATCTTTCCATCTATTTCATTCACTACTTGGCCAGACTCTGAAAGTCTCTTTCTACATTCACATCCTAGGTAGTTTCAAGAAATCCTTACCTGTAAGGATGTCTGTCAGCAGGCGGAGAGGCAGGTGTAGGAACTCCTCTGTCTCCTGCAGCTGAGACAAATGTGACTTTGCACAGTGTTTGGCAGCTGTGTAGAGCTCCATGTCACTGTGTTGATCTGCCAACCACATGACCTGCAGACAGTTTCTAACCTGCACCGTACGGGCCAGAAACCGGGAGCACTCTTCAAAAAGGGCAGTCAGCTGGTACATGTCTGCCACTTCATAGGTTTCCTGCAACTCCTCTGCCCTCAGCTTTACAGTTCCATGGTAAATATAGTCCACAAGGAGCTGAAAGACACTCTCACTAACATCCTGCAGCTCAATCACCCGGTTGTGGGCCTCCTTTAGGTTGGAAGTGAACATAGAACGAAAAAAGCAGCTCTGAGCTGACAGGACCAAACGGTGCAGCTGGAATTCTTTGCCTTCCACTGATATTGTAACATCAGCAAAGAGCTCATCCTCCAAGCATAATTTCATAATACCCTGGGCCACGCGGCCTGAGTGGGAGCGGTCAGTGAAGGTGTAGTTCACAAAGTAGTTTTCTTCTGCAGAGGAGCCTCCAGTCTCTTCTGACGAGTCCATGGTGCCACACAAATCAGACCTCCAGCAATCTGTAAAATCACAATAATTATACGGCTTCCTCTCACCACTAACAAGATTATGCAGTACTTCAGGGTACAGGGAAAAATCAAACATATTGGTAAGAGTCCAGCATATTTTAGACTGAACATAAATAGCACAGCTAGAAACTTGTGCTTGAGCTTCAGAATCTCAAACAGCAAATGAGAAGTTGGCATAATTAAAATTATAATATATACCAAACTTCCAGTACAGTGAACATCACATCCCAGCAGGGCTGGGAGACGTGCATATCTTCACCACTCATTTCACTGACACAAAGAAATGCATCAAGTTATTCAAGTGGAAAGTCCAGCAACTGCCCTAGGAAACTTGCAAAGCCAAAAAAAGTGGCAGCAGCATATCTGGACTGGATGTGAAAAGGATCACAGTATCATACTAAAAAAGAGCACAGGCAGCAGTTCATATCATCAGGAGGTGTTAATTACTGTCAAAACCCAATGATGAATCTGTATCAAGGTGAACTTGTTTTTACCAAAAAGATGCATGAGATTTTGGCCTGACATCACCACCAGTCCTTCAAGCTAATCAAATGAGACAACTGATGGTTATGCTGTTTGTTAATGTTCCAGTCAACTTCAGCATGCAAAACAACATTTTAGATGTTGTTAGTCACTGCTTCCCAAGTGGAAAGGGGAACAAAATGTAAAAGAAAAAACCTCTCAGCAGGTGAAAAGCTTGTGAAACACAGAAGGACTACTACAGCAAGGAGCTCTTTTTTACCATGGCTCTTGACAGCATTTGAAACAGTTGCCAATCTGCCTTCACTTTAGACTTACTTTTACAACTGAACTACCAGCCATAATGTCTGATAACAGAAATTTCTTCAATTAATAATGAACATTATTTCAAGGACAATGTTTCACAAAGATGTGTTTTTTTTTCTCCAGCAGATTTGTAGCTACTCTTCCACGGTTTATCTTGTTACACATGCATTTTCTTACAATTACTGTGCTTGATCAGGAGGGCTCCTAAGTTCTTTGCTCAAATTCTGTTCATGGGAAGTAGCGTCTACATCCCTAATTGGCCGGACAAGTCCACCTCATCTCTGGTGATAGCCTGCCTTAATTATACTCTTATCCCAATTTCACAGTAGTTGTGGTCTGTCTGAAAAGTAGCTATACAGTAAGTATACCGAAGTACCTGTCTATAAGAGACAGAGGAACTGCAGTCAGCACAGAACACATCAGTACTCTTTCTCCAGCTTTATGAAATATGAGCCTATTCTGCAAATTGGCTTCCACTTCGCTTAAAGCTCTTTATCCTCACAGTCAAGGTGCTTAGGAGCTTCAGCCCAGAATGCAGAAGAGACCGCACAGAGCACCAGGATATGGACAGATGAACCACTCTGTCCCCTCGACATGGCAGAAACAGCTGCCCACACCGCCCTGCACAATTCCCAGAGGACTGATACCAAGTCATGAAAGAAATGCCAAGAAGCAACTAAAGACTACACAAATCTCGCATCTTCCTTGTAGACACCCAGACAAAGCTCCCCTTTGCACCCATGGTATCTCTGCTATAAAGAAAGAGGCATAAAGGACAGTTAACTGTCCCATAAAGCCAAATCACATGCTTCATGCATTCCATAGGCCAAGCTATCAGTGACAGTGGTTTAACCAACACCTAATACACCTCCTTCACAGAATGGCAGAATCACTTAAGTTGGAAAAATCATCTGAGACTACCAAGGCCAACCTAAGGCTGAACACCATCCTTTCAAACAGACCACGGCACTGAGTATCACATCCAGTCTTTCCTGAGACACCTCCAGGGACAGCAATACCACCACCTCCCTGGGCAGTCCATTCCAGTCTCTAATCATCCTTCCTGTGAAGAAATTCTTCCTAACGTCTGGCCTAAACCTCGCCTGCTGCAGCTTAAGCCTGTGTTCTCTCGCCCTGTCGCTGGTTGCCTGGGAGAACAGGCCAACCCTTGTCTGGCTACACCCTCCTTTCAGGCAGTTGGAGAGGGTTATAAGGTCATCTTTGAGCCCTCTTTTCTCCAGGCTAAACTAACACAGCTCCCTCAGCCGCTTCTCAAAGGACTTCACTCTTTCCTTGCTTCATTCTTTCCCTGCTCCTGACAGGGTCGCGGATGCCACGGCGGCGCCCGGGACCGGGGAACCCCTAAGGACAGCTGACAGCGACCCCACGGTCTGAGGCGGGGAGAAGGAAGGAAGGAAAGGAGGCCGATCCTCGGAGAAACGCAGATTCCCACCAGGGCCGCGCTGACGCTGTGCAAGGCTCAGCGCTGGCTCAGCCCGGGGGCTGCCGGGTTCCGCCGCCCTCCGCGCCCACACCTCC